GTGAGTGAAAACGTGTAAATAAAATAGTATTATTATCTCTCTAATAGAAAATTAAGATGGACAGGAGGAAGAAAAATCAAAAAAAAAAAAAAAAAAAAAAAAAAAAAAAAAAAAAAAAAAAAAAAAAAAAAAAAAAAAAACGAAATATTGATAACTCGCAACGTGAAAGAATTCATATTGCCTTTTGATCAAATTTAAAGATGATTTAATCATTCATAATGAATATACATACGTATGTACGTACATATGTACACATCCGTTGTTCAGTTTTAATACTCAAAGTAAAATCGCTTGATATTTATTACATAATCACGCCATTAATGACTAAAGTTACTATAGTCCAAAATGGATCAAATATAGTTATACGAACGTAATACACGTGTACGTTGTTTTCTGAATCATCGAAAGCTTGAGGAAAATGGAAAAAAAAGAAGAAGAAGAAGAAGAAGAAGAAGAAGAAAAAAAAAGCAAAAAGAAATAGAAATAGAAATAGAAAAGAAAAGAGAAGAAAGAAAAAAAAACATTAGAAATTCGCGAGTGAAACGAACAAAAGATTTTTGAATCCTCTGTCTCTGTCTCATTCTCACATTCTCTCTCTCTCTCTCTCTCTCTCTCTCTCTCAATAGTGAAAAGAAAAAGAAAGAGAGAGAGAGAGAGAGAGAGAGAGAGAGAGAGAGAGAGAGTACGAGGACAGTCTATCGATTTTTTGTTCACAACGAAGAAGGGGTGGGTAGTACAGAGGGTGCTGAGGAGAGTAGAGAACGCGTGGCACATAAACGGCCCGTGTAAAAGCTCATACCGGCAAGCCAGTAAGTCTGTGTGTTACAATACGTAGCCAGGTTACATAACGCGAGACTCGCATAAGATCCCTGCTACACGTCGTATCGTCTAACGAGGATCATCGTTATATCGTCAATGCTATTTTTTCTTTTTTTTTTTTTTTTTTTTTTTTTCTTTCTCTTTCTTTCATCGAAGTATTACATTTGTTCGTTCGTTCGTACGTTCATTCGTTCGTTTATTTAAAATTTACATCGACGTAAATTTACATTTCAGATAATAATAGTAGGCGAATCTTCTTTATTAGTAAGGATATTGGACATTTTTCAACGATATAAAAAAATATATATATATGTATATATCTTATAAACGTATGTATGTGTGCGTGTGTATGTGTTTATATGTATCTCATCGACTCACATTCTATCACACTGTGATTCCTTCATTCTTTTTATTTTTTTTTTCACCCTCTCTTCTCTTCCCCCTTCTCCATTTTCTTTTTTTTTTCTTTTTTTTTTTTTTTTTTTCTTTTTTTTCTTTGCCTTTTTCTTTTAGCTGATAATCCTAGGTGATTTATACGCTCGACGACCTCGTCTTTCCTCGATTCTCTTATCGATAAGGTCCAACGAGAAAAAAGTACGTAATATTATCCGAGAAAAGAGAGAGACAGAGACAGAGAGAGAGAGAGAGAGAGAGAGAGAGAGAGAGAGAGAGTGTGAGATAGAGTGATAGGAGTATGAGTGGGTGAGCGGGTGAATAAGACTTTCTTTTCTTATCCGATGACAACAACGACGATGTTGGCGGCGATGGTGATGGTGATGCTTTCAACGTAATAATAATAAAAAGAAAAAAATAGTAATAATAATAATAGTAATGAAAAAAAAAAAGAAAAAAAAAAGTGAGAGAAGAAAGATGGTAAGAAAATAAAATGGGGGGAAAGAGGAAGAGGAAGAGGAAGAAGAATAAGAATAAGAAAAAGAAGAAGAAGATGAAGAAGAAGAAGAAGAAGAAAACAACGACGTAGCCCGTAAAAGCTGAGAGCTCAACGCGATTTTAGCAACGCCTGCCTTCGTCAGAGAGTAGAGGATTTCGTAAACGGAAAGATGTGATGTCGTTTTTAGTAATAGTGGGAGAGAAGGAAAGAGAGAGAGATAGAGAGAGAGAGAGAAAGAAAAAGAGAGAAAGAGAGAGAGAGAGAGAGAGTACGTTTATAAGATAGGCATTATTCGCCGTTGGGCTTACACACTAACCTCACCTTTGGTGAACATTCGTGTCCGTGTTCCGTTGCAGATGCTAATTTCCCAACTGTTGCTATTTACGACGACACTAAAGCCATGCAAACGCATTAACGAAGCGCACGTATACCGGGGCCCGGTACAACACCGCCATAATTACGCGGATATGTAGTTTAAGCTTTAAAACGTAACTGATGCCACCGACGCTTTGCTAACGTTTTACGTTATTCTATACAAACGTATTTGTGTATTAAAGAAATGAATGAAGATGGTGATAGATAGATAGATAGATAGATAAATACAGAGAGAGAATGCACCATAAAGTTTGCGAGGATTATTGATCTCTCTCTCTCCCTTTTTTTTTTTTTTTTTTTTTTTTTTTTTCTCTCTCCTAATGATCGGAATATTTTTTACATTTAATTTTTATCATCACGTTATGCGAGGATTATTAAGTTGCTTCTTTTGGTCCTTTTTATTCTTTATTTTATTTTATCTTTACTTTTTTTTTTTTTTTCTTTTTTTTTTCTATCTATTTTTCGTTTTTCTTTATTTGTTTTATTCTTTTATGAGATCTTTTTATACTTCATTTTTAGCTTTGATTTTATCTATACGTTATGCGAGGATTTTTTTTTTTTTTTTTTTTTTTTTTTTTTTTTTTTTTTTTTTTTTTTTTTATATTGAATGATTTACTAGTGATTCCTTTTTTCCTTTTTTAATGATTAAATTATTATCCATCTTTGGTATTTATCGTTTTACTATTTATAACATTTCTTTATAATCGCTGAATCATTCGAGATATTTTTTTATTATCTTGTTATTATGTCTTCGGATTAATCATTTAAAAATTTTCTCTCTTTCTCTCGTATTTTGACATTAAAAATTTTGTTTCGATCGATTTCTCATGATGATCCTTGACACCTATTTCTCTCTCCTTCCCTCTCTCCCTCCTTCTCTCTCTCTTATTCTCTCTCTCTCTATCTCTCTCTCTCTTTCTCTATCTCTCTCTCTCTCCATCTTTTCGTCTTCATGAATGATTTAAGCTACGTACGTACGTAGTAGGACACAAACCGAAGTCGAGGAGAAGAAGAAAGTGGGCCGATGCAGGTGCATAAGTATGCGAGGCATATGTACGCTAGCATATGTAGGAGAGTAGAGGGCAACGACATCCTGTCCTAAATTTGGCTACGAGCCGGCTATAACGCCTTGAAAATAAATCCGCGGACCGGCAGCACTCGGTATGTTACTTTGTTGCATTCGCTCGGTTAAACGCTTCGTGGACAAAGACCTTCTCTGTTTCTCTTTCTCTCTCTCTCTCTCTCTCTCTCTTTCTCTCTCTTTAGATGCCTTCATTTAATCGTCTGTTAGACTCTGATCATTATTCATCTTCAATTTTTATCTCCTTTATTTATATTTTTATTATTTCTTTTATATCGATAGGATCGATCGATTGATCGATCTTAACTCTTCTCTCTTTTCCCTCCTCCCCCCTTTCCTTTCCTTCCTTTTTTCCTTCTCTTCTTCTTCTTCTTCTTATTCCTCCTCCTCCTCCTCCTCCTCCTCCTCCTCCTCCTCCTCCTCTTTCTTCTCCTTCTCCTCCTTCTCTTCGTAATCCTCTGTTATTATTATCATCGTACGAATTTCGTTAGAATAGAAATGAAAATTTCCATAAGATTAATCTCGTAACTCATGGAATCGATTAATTTTTCCAAATTTATATTTTCATCGACGACGACGAGGAGAACGGCGACACGCGAAACGTAGGATTATCGTTTCTTCCCGTGAAAGAAAAAGTTAGCGTTTGTACTTGAGGATCCCCGAGCCGTGACAGTAATTAGCCTTTGAACGGAATAATAGGTTATCACAGCGGTAAATCAGTACCGTTAATGCCCGCCATGACGACATCGCTTCTGCATAACAATAACGCGCCAACAGCAGCAGTAGCACCAACAGTAGCAGTGGCAACACCAACAGCAACAGCGACAGCGACAGCGACAGCGACAGCGACAGCGACAGCAATAGCGACAGCAACAGCGACAGCACCAGTAGTGGCAGCAGCTGCGAGCGGCGAACATCGAGAGAATTAATAGTAGACTAGTAATAGTAGTAGTAATAATAGTACTAATAATAATAATAATAGTAGAATAGTAATAGTAATAGTAGTAGTAGCTGCCAATTACGTTTGCTGACATTAGCTTGTTGCTGTTGTTGCTTATTGCTGAATCTGACGTGGACGATAATGGAGTCTTACTTATGATTAAAAATTGTCTTTCTAATTAGTCGTCCTTTAATCTCATTGATGTAATTACGAAATGAAACATATATTTTTAATTTGTTTCGAAGAGGAGGAAAGAAATAGAAATGAAAAAGTAAAAAAGAAAAATAAAGGATAGTATATCATTGTATACTTCGTATTAAATTTTTCTTGAAAGATTATTTTCTGTGAAATACGATCACGCGCGCACCGGCGCACATCCACACATACACACATATACACACGTACTACTTAAGTATACCCACGTATTTGTTGAAAATTGATTCGAAAGTGTTTCTCTGCGAAGGGGAAACACCAATGAAATCATCTTTTCTTTCCATGGTATGTACTTATCGTCATATACTTCGGATAAACGCTCGATTCTAAGCATCAAGCGGAGACGTCGAAAGGGAATTGTGGGTGGCTGTTGCTAGAGGAGGGTGCTTGGGAAAAAAAAAAAAAAAAAAAAAAAAAAATAAATAAAAGGGTGGAAACGAAAAAGCTCTCGCTTTCTCTCTCTCTCTCTCTCTCTCTATCTTTCTATCTCTCTATCTCTCAATCTCTCTGGTAAGTTTCGAGTAAAAACCAGGAAGCGAGCGTTCGCGAGTGTTCCGAAGCGAAAATTAAGGCACGAGTAGGCAAGCAAGCGTAGGCAGGCAGGGCCGTAGGGAGCAGAATAGGATTCCTGGGCCATTTGAAATGCATTGAATTTTTAAGCATCTTTTCCTTTTTGTGCC